CAGTCTCCAGATTCTGAGTGGAAGCCCCTCGGCCCTAGGCTTCAGCTCCACTTTCCAGGCCCACTGGGACAGTAACTCGGCTCCCTTGGCTTTAGGCGCATCATTCTCCAGTCCATCTGAGTGGCGACTCCACCCTTAGAAACACCAAAGGCCATGACTCCACCCTTTGCAACCCCAGAGGTCATGGCCATACCTTTTGAGACTGAAGCAGCTTGGCTTCTTGTGTTCCTTGTCTCTTCAGCTTCTGCTTCTGTTTCCTGTGGCCTCTCAGCCTTCGGGCCTCATGCCCACATCTGCCCTGCTGGGGCAAGTGTTCCAAATCTCTGTAGCTCCACCAATAAATGCCCAAGAGGCACCCCACTCTACCAGAAAGCCTCGAGTGCACAGGCACTCAGGTCTCTCGCTCCGTGGGTTGGCTCCAGCTCTGTCTTACACTGGTCTCCAGGTTCTGTTGCTGCTGGTTCTCTGCCACTGTTGCTTCTCTGCTGCTGCAGGTTCTCTGCTGCTGCTGGTCCTTTGCTGCTGCCACTGCTCTATCCATTCACAGTTTCAAAACTGCTTCCACATTTTAGGTATCTGTTAGAGCGGAACCCCACTCTCTTGGTACCAGATGTCTTAGGCTGGGTTCTCTAGAGAAGCAAAACCAGTAAAGCATATAAATATATATATATATAAATAGAGAGAGAGAGAGAGATTTATGTCAAGGAAACAGCTCATGCAATCGTAGCGGCTAGAACATCCCAAGTCCATGGATCAAGGTAGAGGCCTCTCCCAATTCATGGAGCCTCAGAAGCTGGTAAACCCAAGGTCAGCAGGTTAGAGAGCAGGGCTCCTGCTCACAGGCTGTGAAGGTCAATGAATTCCAAGATCAGCAGACAAGACCACAAGGTTTCTCCTGATTCACATAGCTGCAGGGGCTGGCGAACCCAAGATTAGCAGGTCAGGGAACTGGACTCTTGCTCATAGACTAAGAAGACCAATGAATTCCAAGATCAAAAGGTAAGCTGCTAGCTCAAGTCCCAAGAACTGGAGGTGAGACAACAAGAGGCAGCTGCTGAGTCTGGAACAAGCCAAAAACCTTGGCAAGGCTAGCAGGCAGAAAGTAACCAGCGGAAGGCAGAGAGATGAAACTGAGGAGGGGGTGAGCTGCCACAGTCCCCGCCTCTACCAGTACCACTCAGCAGATTCCATCATGGGGATGATCACATATCAAATTTCAGCAGGGAAGTGATCACAACATTATACAACTGCTAAAACACTGAGAATAATTGCCTAGCCAAGTTGATGTACAATCTTAACCATCACAGTAATTTAGTGTAAAATACATACAAACTTCAAATCTTCATATGGATTCCTTAATTCATAGGTAGGAAATCCACCACTGCAAATATTTTAGACTTAGAACATTCCCAATCTGCAGGTATTCTTGAAAATGACCTGTTATCACTGAAGTACCTTTCCTTGGACAAGAAGTCCCGGGCTCAGGGCTTGAGTTGTGCCTTCACTCCATAACATACTTACTGAGTCTGACTTCCATTAGCAATTATAGAATGACCTAGTGGATCAATATTGCCCTATCATATATAAAAAAATATAATAATCAACAATAAAAAAGATAAAGTTCATATATAGAATTATGAATCTAATGCATTGTGACTTCTCAGCTTCTTTGGCCCATTGAACCACTTCACAGGGCTTCCTGGGAGGACAAAGGTCAGGGGGCCACATCTTAAGAGCGGAAGTCACTAGACAAATACCAAAGAACTCTCTGGAGAGGAATAAAGCAACAGGAAGAGCTTCAAAATCAGTTAATGAACAAGCTGTCCCATGTTTTGGAAACTGTATAGTTTTTCCCTTTAAATTCAGGATATTTTTTGTAACTTTGTCTCTTTACACTGACCAGTCGGTTGTTGTTAGCTGTCGTGGAGTTGACTCTGACTCATGGTGACCTTATGTACAGAACAAAATGTTGCCCAGTCCTGCATCATCCTCACACACACAATCACCGGCATGTTTGAATCCATCACTGCAGCTATTGTGTCACTTTGTCTCACCAAGGGTATCCTTTGCCCTGCTTGGCCCTGTACTTCACCAAATGTGTCCTCTGGTAGTGATTGTTCCTTCCTGATGACACGTTCAAAGCAAGCGAGTCAGACAATGATCTGTTGTCATTGGCTAATTTTCAGAAGATCACTAGGCCATTCTTCCTAGTTTGTCTTAGTCTTTCTTTCTAGTCTTCCTAGTCTATCAGCTCTGCTGAAACCTGTCCACCATGGGTGACCCATAGACGCTCAAATCCAAAAATATGTCAGTACCATCAAGTAGGTGTGTTCAATGAGAAAAACAAGAGCTATGATGTCTGTTTTTCTGTAAGCCTTCCAGAATGAAGCAGGTTGACTGCACAGCAGTCCATACGCAGTAGTTTAACGTTATGCTTGTTTGACTGGATAACTCTGAAATCAATCTACTTCAAAGCCATTGCTAAAAAGCTGTTAGATAAGAATAATTTTCTGTCACTATAAATGTAGACCAGACGAAATCTGGTAACCCAGATCTACAAGAGCACATGACTTATCCCAAACCATATGAATATCTTCCAACTGGCAAAAAAGTTATTTTCTGTATTAGATATTGGGATTATATAATTATTCATTTTAGTTTGAATTATGGGAAGTAAAATAATTTTTAGAAGTGAATTTTGTTAAAGTTTATGAGAATTACTATGAAACACAATACATAGTACAAAAAAAAAGACAGTTTTGTATTTACTGGGCCATGGATGGATGAGTGACAATGGATGATATCACTAATAGGCAATTATAACACCAAGTATTCCAAAATGATTTAATAATTTGTTTTGAAGAAATACAACTTCCAAAAGAACAAAAAGACAATCTAAATATTTATTGGATTGTTACAAGCTGAAATAAAGTTAAATATATCAAATAAGTAATTAATTCCAACCAGAAAAAGGTATCAAATATTTAGTCACCAACTTAGAAATGGAATTGGTTCCAAAAGTTTATCTGTAAATAAATTATTTGGAACAGTGCACTTTCCCATTTCCTGTGGAAATGTTGTAGACAGTAGTTAGGCTTCCAGAGGAACACAAAACTGGGTAAAGTATTAGGCACTTATGGCTGGGAAACATAATGGTAAAAGAATGTGAACCCTATAAAGTCAAGGTCCCTGGACTCCAATCCTGCTCTGTGCATTACCAGCACTATTTCAACAAGAAGATATGTGCCAGCAAGAAGTGGACCTCCTGGGAGTGGGTCCTACTTTCACCTGTAACAGGACTAGAAACTCCACAGCTGGAGAAACACTGCTTTTTTGTGACCAGGGAAAAGCCCACTACTGTCCTTGGTGTGACTCAGATGAGGCTTGAGTGCATGGAGTTGGAGTTAAGGAGCACTATTCCATAAACAACCCTGGTGGAATTAACATGAACTCAGGCAAGGAATATCATTTTTGCAAAACTATACTTAGTCTTTTCAGATGTTTGTGATTCTGAAATTGTTTACAATGAATATGTAGTAGTAATGAGGACTAAGATGATGCGGTCCAGCTTTAATAAGGATAAGGTTCATGTGACCCAATTAAGCTTTTCTCACGTTTAGCTATGATTTCCAAATATCGGGAGAACCCCCTCCAAAAAAAACCTATATTGAAATTACACGATCATATAGTCACTTTTTTTTTTTTTAACAAGCAAAAGGAAGCATTTGTAACAAGACACATCTACATGGATCAGTAATATGTCCTTGTTTCTACCCAGGGCATTACAGGGATCTATCTATGAAGTACAACTCTATTAGGAACATAGGTGCAGGGCTGCATTTGTCATTTACCCCTCAGGGGAGACGTCTGTAAGATAGGACACAGAGACGTGAGGCCCATGGGAGCAAGCGCTGACGATTGAATCCAGTCAAGAGAAATGTTCACTGAATGCTTAAGATTGAGAACAACTATGAATAGAATAATCATCATGCAAAATTATCGGAGGATGTTAGAATGACTGCTTCAAAATCTGAATAGCATACATTTACAATGGAGTTTTTTTCTCACTTAGATCCTACTTTAAGCTCAGATATTACTATAATTAAACAAAACACAAAGAGAGTTAAAGTAACACACTATTTGAAGAAAGAGAAGTTAGACTGAGATGGAGAAAATGCCAAATTAATTGTTGACACTTTTGTTGTTACGTGCTGTCGAGTCGATTCTGACTCATAGCGACCCTATGTGGCAGAGTAGAAGTGCCCCATAGAGTTTCTTGGGCTGTAATTTTTATGGGAGCAGATTGCCAGGTCTTTTTTTCTACAGAGCCACTGGTGGGTTCAAACCACCGACCTTTCAGTTAGCACCTGAGCATTTAACCACTGTACCACCAGGGCTCCTTTTGTTGACACTAATTCTCTACAGGACTGGACACGTCCATGAAAAATGCCTCTTCTTTTCCCTAATTCATCAGTTAGGATGATTATTGGAGATGTAACAACTACATTTTGGAGGAGATCTACATACAATTCCACTTCAACCTGCTCAAAATCACATTTTAAGTAAGGTACCATGAAACTGGACAGAAAACAAAGTTGGCTTACTGTGGAAAGCAGAAAGCCATGGCAATTCAATTAAGAGCTTTGTTTAAAACTCTTACAATGCTTTTTCACTAAGTCATATTTTCATTTACATGAAATGTCTCTCATGCAAAGCTGCTTTAGTGTTATAGTTAGGAAAACATACAGAAAAATCTTTTGAATTAAAACACAGATATAATATTTTCTACCATCTTAATTTTAATAAAATTATGAATCACCTAACATGCACAATTGTTTTGGTTGTCAATTATAATTTTTCTCTCAGAGATATTTTATGGGCTCCAGTCGACTCTATGGATTTGCCTGCATTATTGTCTTTAAAAATAAAATTAGAGATAAAAGACTTGTCGACGAACTAGCTATTGCAGCACATTGGATGCAATTACTGTGGGTCCTCACCTTTCTCTGGTGGCCTTCTGCAGAATCTTCTTTCCCACTAGACTACAGGACTTCCCTTCCAACTGTCTTGCCTTCAACATGGCGCCCTCCATGTGCACTTCACCAAGCAGCCCATAGGCATCTTGCACAAGAAGACAGACTCTGTAAAAAAGCATTCACATTTGTTCTGTTAGTAGACAATTTGTGATTCAATACAGAGGCGAGAATTTCCCCTCTATTTTTTAGACATCCATTGTAGTTATTTTCATAAGTGGGTGAGTCAGGTGGAATGAAAATGGATTCAAGTATTTACTTTTCGGATTTGTACATGCAGGTGTTTGGATCATTCACAAAGTATAGAAGGAGATACAATCCTATTTTGGCATAAAACTAAATCCTAAGTCAAATTTGGTTTAAAAGCACACAAAGAAAACCATCCTCTCAAATCAAATACTTTATTGTTACCTTGGTAGAGCGTCCTCACTCCCCATTTTTTATCCTGTTCCCCATGACAGGAAAAACTTATATTGTATGTTGATGTTCAATACTGAGAAAAGTTTCAGTGTATCATTATGATGAAAACAACAATTAGGGGCTTTCTCTGAGACAGGCGTGCTACACACAACAGGATAAAAACCAGTGTCCCAGCTGGCAGCAAACTAGGCACAATGGGTATGCAGGGACATTATGGGATTCCCCCTAATTTTTAAGTTCAGAGGTGAACTTGTGACTGAATTCCAATCCTCTCACTTTATAATTCAGGTAAATAAAGTATTATCTATCATGAAATGACACATTCTCAGAAAACATTTCTTAGAGTCTGAAAAAATTTTTACCCAGTAATAATACCACCACCAAATAGATTATGGGGCATAAAACTCTTCTAAAGATGAGAATATAAAGGTAAGTGCCAGTAGCATCACCCTAGTTGTGACAACCAAAAATGTCTCCAGACATTGCTAAATGTCCTCTGGGGGCAGAATCACACACCAGTTGGGAGCCTCTGGATTACAAAAACCCTCTCCTAATCTTCCCCACGCATCTATCAGTTTCTTGTACTGTGGTGGCTTACGTGTTACTGTGATGCTGAAAGCTATGCCACTGGTATTTCAAATACCAGCAGGGTCATCCATAGTGGACAGGTTTCAGTGGAGCTTCCAGATTAAGACAGATGAGGAAGAAGGACCCGGCAGTCTACTTCTGAAAAAACTGGCCAGTGAAAACCTTATGAATAGTGGTGCCGGAAGATGAGGCTCTCAGGTTGGAAGGCACTCAACATATGACTGGGGAAGAGCTGCCTTCTCAAAGTAAAGTTGACTTTAATTACGTGGATGGAGTCAAGCTTTCGGGACCTTCATTTGCTGATGTGGCATGACTCAAAATGAGAAGAAACAGCTGCAAACATCCATTAAAAATCAGAACATGGAATGTACAACGTATGAATCTAGGAAAATCGGAAGAATCAGAATTCCACATCACTTAACTGTGCTCATGAGGAAACTGTACACAGTCCAAGAGGCAGTCGTTCGAAAAGAACAAGGGGATACTGCATGGTTTAAAGTCAGAAAAGGTGTGCGTCAGGGTTGTATCCTTTCACCATGCTTATTCAATCTGTATGCTGAGCAAATAATCCAAGAAGCTGGACTATATGAAGAACAGGGCATCAGGACTGGAGGAACACTCATTAACAATCTGCCATATGCAGATGACACAACCTTGCTTGCTGAAAGTGAAGAGAACTTGAAGTACTTACTGATGAAGATCAAAGACTATAGCCTTCAGTATGGATTACACCGCAATATAAAGCCAACAAAAATCCTCACAACTGGACCATAAGCAACATTATGATAAATGGAGAAAGAAGAGAAGTTGTCAAGGATTTCATTTTACTCGGATCCACAATCAACGCCCATGGAAGTAGCAGTAAAGAAATCAAACGACGCATCTCATTGGGCTAATCTGCTGCAAAAGACCTCTTTAAAGTGTTAAAATGCAAAGATTTTACTTTAAGGACTAAGGTACCCCTGACTCAAGCCATGGTGTTTTCAATTGCCTGATATACATGTGAAAGCTGGCAATGAATAAAGGAAGATCAAAGAAGAATTGGCACCTTTGAATTATGGTGTTGGTGAAGACTATTGAATATACCATGGACTGCAAGAAGAACGAACAAATCTGTCTTGGAAGAAGTATCGGCAGAATGCTCCTTAGAAGCAAGAACGGTGAGACTTTGTCTCATGCACTTTGGACATGTTATCAGGAGTGATCAGTTCCTGGAGAAGGACATCATGCTTGGTAAAGCAGAGGGTCAGCGGGAAAGAGGAATACCCTCAACAAAGTGGATTGACACAGTGGCTGCAACAATGGGCTCAAGCATAACTATTGTGAGCATGATGCAGGACCAGGCAGCGTTTCATTCTGTTGTACACAGGGTCACTGAAAGCTGGAACCGACTCCGTGGCACCTAACAACAACAACTCCTAATCCTACATCCTATTTACAAAGTAAATTTCCATAAAAAAAATAAACTCTAATCATACCCACACGCTCACAAATCTTCATGTCTCTCCAGTGCCTATGTTAGTTGTTTTTCAAATTGTTTGGCCACAATCTGCATCATGTTACATTGCAACCCTGTACCCACATATGTGAATGTGTATATAACTGAAGTGACTGTGTATCATGCACTCTGACACTTTATTTTTCTCTTCTAATCTTTTCCATACAATGAAAATTCTGGCTAAAACATACTAACTTGATTTCATGCTCAACTACTGGGTCATGTCTACAGTTCTGAAAAACACTGCTCTAGAACCTAGCCTCGATGATAGAGTGTAAACTCTTGAACTTTACATCCAAGACAATAAATCCCCAGTCATCTCTGCAGTTCTACTACAGTTCTACCTCATATGCCCTGCACTCACTCGTAGCTCAAAGTTCATGAAGCAAACAGACACACACAACTTGCCCTCATGCTTCTTAGACTGGAGTGTGTGCCGCCTGGAGACATATATATTAAACATATATATATATACACACTCACATATATATACAAAAACAATTGTACTGAAGTATATTTTATGTGTCATAAAATTTACCCGTGGCCAATTCAATGATGCTTAGTAACTTTACTAAGTAATGCACCCATCACCATAAATCAATTTTAGAATATTTCCATCCTCCCAATAAGATCCCATGTACCCGCTTACAGTTCATCCCTGTTCTCACCCTTAGTCCCAAGTAAACTGCTAATCTACTTTCTGTCTCTATAAATTTTCCTTTTCTGGACATTTCATATAAAGGAAATCATACAATCTGTGGGCTCTTGTGATTCACCTGTTTCACTCAGCATAATGTTTTTCAGGTTCATATATAATGTAAGATGTCACAGTGCTTCATTCCTTTCTATAGCTCCAGTCTTCCATTGTATGAACATACCACATTTTGTCTATCCATTCAATAGGTGAGGGACATTTAGGTTTTTTCCAATTTTTGGGTATCACAGACAATACTGCTATGAACATCTCTGTGGAAATCTTTGTGTGGACATATGCTTTCATTTCTAACCTTCCCACCAGCAATGGACAGGCATTCCCACTTAATCCAGATCCATGCAAACATTTGCTACTGTGCATTTTTTAAAATTGTACTTTAAGTGAAAGTTTACAATTCAAGTTAGTCTGTCATACAAAAATTTGTAGATACATTGTTATGTGACCCTAGTTGCTCTCACTATACTGTGACAGCATGCTCCTCCTTTCCACCCCGGATTTCCCAGGTCCATTCAACCAGCTCCTGACCCTCTCTGCCTTGTCATCTCGCCTCTGGACAAGAGCTGCCCATTTAGTATCTACTTGAGCTAAGAAGCACACTCTTCATGAGTATCATTTTATGTCCCATAGCCCAGTCTAATCTTTGTCTGAAGAGTTGGCCTTGGGAATGGTTTCAGTTTTGGGCTAACAGAGAGTTCGGGAGCCATGTCCTCTGGGGTCCCTCCAGTTTCAATCTGGTCTTTTTACTAGAATTTCAGTTCTGCACCCCACTTTTCTCCGGCTCCGTCAGGGACTCTCTGTTGTGTTCCCTGTTAGGGTGGTCATTGGTGGAAGCTGGGCACCATCTAGTTCTTCTGGTCTCAGGCTGATGAAGTCTCTGGTTTATGTGGCCCTTTCTGTCTCTTGGGCTAATTACTTTCCTTGTGTCTTTGGTGTTCTTCATTCTCCTTTGCTCCAGGTAGGTTGGGACCAATTGATGCATCGTAGATGGTCACTCCCTAGCATTTAAGACCCCAGATGCCACTCACCAAAGTGGGATGCAGAACATTTCTTAATAAACTTTGTTATACCAATTGACCTAGATGTTCCCTGAAACGATGGTCCTCAGACCTCCGCCCCTGCTACTCTGTCCCTCGAAATGTTTGGTTGTATTCAAGAAACTTCTTAGCTTTTGGTTTAATTCAGTTGTGCTGACTTCCCCTGTAGTGTGTGCTGTCCTTCCCTTCAGCTAAGATAATTCTTGTCTACTATCTAGTCAGTGAACACCCCTCTCCCTCCCTCTCCACCCGTGCAACCATCAAAGAATATTTTCTTCTGTGTTTAAACCTTTCCTTGAGTTCTTATAATAGTGGTCTTATACAATATTTGTCCTTTTGTGACGGACTAAATTCACTAAGCATAATGCCTTCCAGATTCCTCCATTTAATAAGATGTTTCATGGATTCATCATTGTTCTTTATCATCATGTAGCATTCCATTGTGTGAATATACCATAATTTGTTTATCCGTTCATCTGTTGATGGGCACCTAGGTTGTTTCCATCTTTTTGCTATCGTGAACAGTGCTGCAATGAACTTGGGTGTGCATACATCTATTCGTGTGACAGCTCTTATTTCTCTAGGATATATTCCAAGGAGCAGGATTGCTGGATCGTATGGTACTTCTATTTCTAGCTTTTTAAGGAAGTGCCAAATCGATTTCCAAAGTAGTTGCACCATTTTACATAACCACCAACAGTGCAGAGGTGTTCCAGTCTCTCCACAACCTCTCCAACATATTTTATTTTGTGTTGTTTGGATTAATGCTAGCCTTGTTGGGGTGAGATAGTATCTCATTGTAGTTTTCATTTGCATTTCTCTAATGGCTAATGATCGTGAGCATTTCCTCATG